CACTATTTCTGTAAACAAAATGTACACTGACTTCAAAAGGGAGAAGATTAACACTTAAGGGTCATCAGCACTGAGGAAAGCAGCTATACAACAAATACAGGCCACTTGCTCAGCACAAAGATAATTAAAATCTCTTTCTGGAGTGACCTTAGAATCACTGACCCTGAACCACTTGACATCACATTCCTGCATGCTCCATTTAGCCTTGTTCCTCCTCTGTCCCATGAGGCAGCTCCTGCTTCACCATTACATAACCCTGTCCTTCTTATCACAAATTTCCACTATTCCAAATGCCCTCAGCCCTATTCCTGGTACCAAACAGCAGCCTCATCTATGCTCTCAAGAAGTTGAGCTCTAAGATTCCTCAGCTACACAGAGAAAACAATTCTTGAAACATCCCAGGCTTGATAAGTCAGGGAAAAGGTCAAGAGTTCATTCTTCTATATCATCTGATGTCACATGGCAAAAAACAAGAGCTTTACCACCTTCCTGAAATGGGAGAGATGTGCACCTGTGGGCAGATCTGTCCAGTGCCTTCCTGACTCCGACAGCTGGAACTGGCTGCAGGGCTGACTGCTCTCCCGCATTGAATCTGGGGGGAATGGACCAAGAAATGACAAGAATGATCAAAAAATATGGAACAACTGCTGCACAATAAATGACCACATAGGCTACAACTCATCAGGCTGGAAAACATGCAAATAACATAAATTCATGAAATCCTAAATGGCCTGGGGACTAGACAGGCAGCAGAAAAAATAAACTAGCAAAGAGAAAAAGGTGTCCAGAGAAAGAGGAAAGGAGAACTATGAAACACCCCCCTACTACCCTACCACATGAACATTTTACAAGCTATTGCTGCTTTTGCAACTGTGACTAATGTAAAAAGAAGTTCAAGAAAGTTACTCTTTATTCAGGAAAAAACTCGCTTTTCACGTTTCTTGCTCATCAAGCATCCCCACCTCACTGCACCCATGTTCAGACACGTGTAGATGCTTCTGGTCTGTGTGCTCAGGTGGGATCCCAGCACATATTCTGGAACACCACCCACCACTGCATGGGTGAAGTTTTGTGTCAGTCTGGACACAACTTGCCTGAGGTTTCTTCTGCTTACTCCTGCCTTTGTCTCACCCAGGAACAGAAACTTTCTCAGAGGATCTCTACAAATAACTGTTTTCTGTGTCGTGCCACTATCTGTTACTATTGAACAGAAAACACCTTCCCTTATTGCACAGAGGGAAGCCTGCTCCATATGACCTTCTTTTTTTTACCTATGGCATTAAGGCATAGATCTTAGTAGGGGTGCAAGTGAACATCTGTCACAAATTCTAGAGCAACTTCATAAACAGGCTGAGATTAGCTTTTGGCTTTGGGAGCAGCAATGGCTCTGCAGCTGTCATTGCACAGAAAGCTCCACAAGTTTAGATAAATAGTAAATAATTAGGTTTAAATTAAAAAAAAAAAAAAAAATCATGCCTAAGCAAGACTGCATGAGAGCCCTGCTGAGATCAGGCTGCCCTGAGTCTTTTAGACATGGTGTAATCTCAGAGGTTTGCAGCAAGATGGCAGTCTGAGATGAGCTCTTGCCTAATTAGCAGATTTCTTGTTGTGTCTCAGTGGTTGCACTGCAGAGATTGGCCACCATCCACTAATTTGCAATATCCTAGGCTTTAAAACACCTTCTTTGTTCCCAGTTCATCAGGGCCAGCTGGAAAAGCACCTGCCAAGCAGAGAACTCACTTGCAAAGGTTCAAATCCAAAATGAGGCCTGGGACTAAGATGTTCTGCACTATTGCCTCAGTACTTCTTACACCTGGGCTCCTTACTAAATGCAAGAGGTGAATCAGGCAGAAATACATATTCCATCCTGCCTTTACAAATAACTGCAGACTAGCATCAGCATTTTTAATAGGTCTTGCTCTCATAATTCCCTCACATTTTTACACTGCAAGGGACAGGTTGGTTACTCCATTTGGTAGCAGGCATTGGCGTCTTCATTTTGTTTCAGTTTTTAGCATTTGGAATGCCAGCACAATTCTTTGCTAAAACCATACTACCACAAAGTGGGCAACAAAAGCAGCCCTGGGAGCTTCCCCAGTGACAGACCTCCGCCATAAGCCACAGGTGCAGTGCCCAGGGCTGGGATGGCTGAGGACAGCAGAAGCTGTCCACCAAATGTGATCCTGGCTGCAGGAAAGCTCCTGACAGTTCCTACAGAGATGGGTCAATCACAGGTTCCAGAGTCCGTGGCAACACACTGGCATGGTAAAAGGGGAGAGGTTTCATAAAAATTTGCGATTTGGGTATGATTAAGACTGAAGCATTAATTGAAATACCTGTGTAAACACCAATAGACACATGAGAACAAGATTTAAAAGAATGGCTTCTATAGAAAACGCAGAACACTGCTCCCAGTCAAAGGAAGGAATGATTTGTTTCCATTTGCTCTGACACCCAGGAGATCACAAGCAATGAAGCACAGCAGCTTCCCTCAGCCAAAAGAACACGGCCGCAGCTCATATTGCACTAACTTGCAAGAGAACCGCAATGTAAGCAGAGATTGAAAAACAATCTTTGTGTCTTGAGCCGAGGGAAACTTTTATCATAATTTATGGAGATTTACCAGATGAACTGCTTCTCCTCTTCTCCCTGTTCATTTTCTTCCTCTGTTTTCTGATTCCAACCCATGTCTAGACGCCATTATCATGGCTCTATTGTAACTCAGCCTAGCTAAAAACACGAGGCCGAAAGACTCTGTGCTACCTTTGCTGAGAACACTCCTGTCCACAGCACCTGAGGCAGCGCCAGGGCTGGCCCAGGGCTGTGCCGGACGGCCTCGCCTCTTCCCGCCCTTCAAGCACATCAGCGCGGTGATGCGAAAGAACTACATCTCCCGTCATGCTCCGCTCTGACCCGCCCACACCACCTGTGCGCGGCCGCGCGTTACGCGGCGGGAGTTGTAGTCCGTGATGGCGGCGCTGCGGAAGTGACTCGGCGGCGCCGGGGTGAGCGGGGGCGTGTTGACTTTCCGGGGACGGCGCTCATGGAGGCTCGGGAGTAGCGAGGCGTCTGAGGGGGTTCGCCGGCCGCCGCCATGTTCGGCTGCCTGGTGGCGGGCAGGCTGGTGAGCGCTGCCCGGGCCCGGGCGGGGCCCTCAACCCGCTCGGGGGCGGGGTGGAGCTGCCGCAGGGCCCTTGGCCCCCCCGGGCCCCAGGAAGGGTCCCCGCCTGCCCTGCGCTCGGCTGCCTCCTGCCCCGCGTCCCCACAGGCTGCTTGCCTTGTCGAGCGTCCTTGCCGGGAGGCGCTTGCCATCCCCCTGTCAATGTTGTCTCCTCAGAGACAAGCTGGGAGCTTAAAAGAAGCTTTTTAAGGCTAGATTGTGCCTTGGCTGCAAGGATGTGGCATCTCGGGTAAAGAGGAGGGTATCTTTTGCTCTGGCATTCAGCCATCCTTCTGCTGCCTTTCTCAAGGTCTATTGTATTTCCTATGTGAACAGGTTTCCATGATCCTGGGGTTGTGCCAGCCAGGTGGTCAACAGCCACTTCTTAGTGACTTGGCAACCTCTTCTGCACCCTATTTTCCTCCTACGCACATGGGGAGCGAAGGTATTCTGATCCTGTAGTCCCGGGTGGGATATGTGTTCAGTGCAGGTAGAACAAGGCTGTTGTGTCTTTCTGGTAATATTTTTTGCAGTTGTTCTTCTGCTGTGTTTGACTTTTATCTGGCTATTTGCTCTTTAGGCTAGTACGTTCCTCACTTTTTGTTATGTACCACTTTAGGTGTGTTTCTGTAAAAGGAAATTCACAGACAGATGAAGATGAAAAACATGTTAATACTAATAAAGGTTTTGTTCTCTTTAGGTACAAGCTGCACCTCAACAAGTGGCTGAAGACAAGTTTGTATTTGATTTACCAGACTATGAAAACATCAACCATGTAGTGGTCTTCATGCTGGGAACTATACCATTTCCAGATGGAATGGGAGGATCTGTCTATTTTTGTTATCCAGACCAGAGTGGGATGGCAGTGTGGCAGCTGCTGGGCTTTGTCACTAATGAGAAGCCAAGTGCCATCTTCAAAATTTCTGGTCTGAAATCTGGTAAGACTAGAGCATAGCAATTGGTGCAACAGATGTGTTTTGGAATGCATAAGGGATAAATGTATGAAGGTTGCTTTGAACAAAAAACTACTTAAAAAGGCAGCACACGCTGTGTTTTAGACAGTGCTAGAAGCAGCCTGTCAGCTTCATGGAAGTCTGTCTGTGTGTTACTGTTCCTTGTGAAATTTCTCTCTCATCTTCTCTTGTGCATGGTGTTGATCTGGAAATTCTTTTAAGCAGACTTGATGTGGTTTTGTCATCTGTATAGAGGAAAAATGATCCTATAACCTCCCTAACATGTTTTTAGGTGTTTGTCTAGACATGCCAGCAGTGTTTTCTTTCATCTTCCTCTGCTAAACAGTTGCGTTCTCTGTAGCACAGACAAGTTTTGCAGGGAGTAGAGCCTGGCAGTGATTTCTGACAGCGAGCACTCCCCAGCCAGGGGCAGTTGCTCTATAGAATTGTCCAATAGAGGGCGGAAAACAGCCCATTGGAAAACAGCTTTCAAAATGTTTTAGTACTTTTGGTACATTGAGTAGGATGTATGTGCACATGTTTTCCTAAATACATGTGGGGTTTGCTGTGTGCATTATAAAAATGATGAGACATTCCATTGGCACACCTTTGTCCTACGAAAGGGACAGATACATCGGTCAAGCAGCTTAAAGTGTTACAGTGATAAAGTACTACACAGCTTTTGTAGGCTTGGGTGTAGTCTAGATCTTTGACTTGAATCTCTTTTTAATTAGGCATTGAGGATACTCTGTTAAAATACATTCATTCATAACGTGGCACACTTTCTGTTGAGTTAGTCCTGGATGTGGCAGTATGGTTGAGATAAGGGCTCTCAAGCTGCAGAGCAAAATGAATTCAGATCACACACATGCCTCAAAAATTTGGGCTTTCTTCAGAAGAGGGAGCAACTGCCGGAAGGGTTTGGGGGGATGTGGTTTTGTGTATCCCAAAGCTGTGTGCAAGAGAAAAGCATATCACCAGTGCTTTTGGCATATGTTTCTCATGCTTGAAAGACTCACTGGTGCGTGCTCTTGGACAGCTTTGGAGGAAAATGCATTTTCAGATGCTTTTTGCATGATTAGCCATGATTTCCCAGTCAGGGCTGCTCTCAAGGAAGAACTCAGTGACATAGTTGAACCCATTTGCAGTGCCTTGAGGTGCTGTTGTGCTTGATTTGAGCAGCAGAGAGCTCTGCCATTCCCGTTGTCTGCAGCTTAGATCTGACTGTGGACTCAGTCTACGGCTACACAATCTAAGTTTTGTGGCCATAAACAATATTAAGGTGGAGAAGACTATATAACAGAGCTGGAATCATTGAGAGACATTATTGATACCTGAGCTCTGCATTTTGGGTTCAATACCTGGTTGAGAGGACCAGAGATGTCTCCCTGTCAGCAGTGTTGTGTCCCTGGGAAGCAGTGGTTGTAGCAGAGTTTCATTTGTTTGTGCATAAAGAAGGGGCTTAGAAATGCTCCCTGCCTTGGAATGGTAAGGTTTTTTGGATTTCAGTTGTGCCTGAAGGTGTGGTAGAAATAGAAAACAAACTTTGGACTTGTATTTTGCGCCCTTACTGTAAGTATGTTCACAAGTGAGATAAGAGTTACAGCAGAGCCTTTTCCATGACAGGCTTTTCTGCTGTGAAGCTGTTTAAGCTCTAATATTATGTCTACATTTGAGGCCTTCACATGTGTAAGGGTTTTGTTGTTATTGGGCTGAAGGATATTGAGGGCTCAATCATTGAATTAAGGAGTCAACAAAGGGAAAGAAATGGGTGGAATAATACTTTTCTGATAGCAGTTGCTCTGCAGTGATGTAATGTGTTGGAGAGTGTGGGGTCTGAGTGCAAAAACCTGAGCTTGTATTTCAGTACTGATTAACATTCTCTACGTTTGTACAGTTTGGAATGCTAATTGCAAGAGCCAAGCATGGAAATCATGGAGTGCATTTCTCCTGGTGTAAGGATGACAATGGATGCTTTTATTTCACACTTTTAGGCAGACATCTTTCCAAGGCCATGGTTCTGTGGGAGTTCACGGAAAGTGAATGGAATGTATGTGTTTTATTATTTGGATCGTGCTTGTCTAAAGTAATCATACATTGTAACAGAACCTGTTGCTTGGGGATGTTACATTTTTATTGAAATGTCAGCTTCTCAGGTGAAGATGTTGCAAGACGCAAAATTTTACCAGCTCTGTTGCTATTGGGATTCTCTAATAATGAACTTGATACTTGGTTTCTGATAGCTTGTATCAAGCAAGCATCTATCAACAGAAAATGCTGAGTTCATACAGCAATGACATTTCTCAGAAGAGGTTCTAAATAGCATTTCCGGAGATGAACTCTTCTCTCACTTACCTTATGTTAAAGTAACATTTTAATAGGCGTGCTTTATTTATAAGGTAGCACTATATTACAGTTGTAGGATCTGGAGTGAGGAGTAGCACTTCAATTGAAAAGGGTGGTGAGTTTGTGAGTGTAATTTCTGTATGGGTTGGCTGTTTGCTTCTTTGTGCCTTGTGTCTCTGCAGAGGAATGGTCAAGTTCCTGAGGTCTTCAGTCTTGATCTCAGTTCAACTTGTCAGACTCTTTTTGCTGACCGAGTTTTTGACTAAGTCACATGGTGCTTTTGATCTCCATTAGCATTTCTTGCACCTCAAGATAGTGCTGACTGGTCTGCAGGACAGCTCTTGATTAGCTTTGCTTTCTCCTCCTAGTAAAAGGCCAGAGTGCTGGTGAAACATTGCCTCTGTGTTAAGAGGGTACTTGGCTATTGTGTTCCCACAAACACAGGTGCAGTATTAGTGTTTGTTTACTGATAGCATTGTGATCCCACAGACATTTTCCTGCATTTTCCTTTAGAGACGCTGACAGAAGAGTACATGATTTAAGTGACTCTGAGTGTCTGTCCTTGTTTGCAGAGACCTTGGCTGAAGCTGGCACTGAAAGTATGGGTTGAGAAAGGTCAGAAGTGAGGGCAGAGGGCTGGGATGATGCCTGTGTTTGTGGCATGCAGTTTGGAGATGGTTCCTTGTTTTCTTTGTGGCACTTACAAAGTGAGAGGCCTTTCTGTTCCCTGACTATTTCTTTAACCTTTGCTGCTTTTGTTGGGTTATAGCAGTTCAGATGAGACTTGGGGCTTCCCAGCCCTCCCTAAATCAGAGGGATCATAAATTAGAGCTCTCCACTTTTTCAGAGCAGGTTCACTAGAACCTGGCTTCAATGAGTGAATCAAACAACTGCAGCAGTGCTGCGTGTTTCCTGTTTATCTGCTGCGTGTTTCCTGTTTATCTGCAATTGCCAAAATATAAATTAAAAGCTTAGTTCCTGTAGAGAAAGGTTCTGCTGTCTTTCACTCACTGATTGTATTCCCCCTTGAATCCGTTTACTTCATAGGCAGCTGTAAATGACATTTTTCTGTTTTTTAGAAATTTCCTTATGATCTGTTGTGCTTTTTAAATGTACCCATCACACTGTTCCATCTGTTGTGCTTGTGTGTACTTGTGCCTGTGCTTGGAGTGTGGTTTTTCTGTGTCTCCTGAGATAGGGAGATCCCTCTGGTGGGAGCTGGGGAATACCTTCTACAGGAGGAACACGGTGGTTTAAGTTACACAGCCTTTACGTGTGTGCCAAACCTAACGTGTGCTGTTCGTGGTGCTTTCAGGGAAGGGAAGTCAACATCCCTTTGGTGCCATGAACCTCCCACAGACTCCAACAGTGGCTCAGATTGGAATCTCAGTGGAACTGCTGGAGAACCTGGCCCAGCAGACTCCTGTTGCAAGTGCTGCTGTGTCATCAGTAGATTCATTCACAGAGGTAGCCTGGACATTCCGTTTTCAGAAATTCTCTGCTCTGTGGAAGTCTCAAGAATTGAGCCTCTAAAGCACCAATTGGGGAGTGGGCAGGGGTTGCTGCTGCGAGTGGCAGTAGGATTGTAACCAACCTAATAATTGTCAGATCATTTGGTTGGATGCTTTGATACTATGAAACTGCTTTTTCTTACACTGAAAAACTATCTCCTGTGAAAGACTGGAATTTGCATGATCAGTGACATGAGGCCAAGAGATTCACTTGTGTCAGTGTCACTGTACTGTAAAATTATTTATGATACTTTTTATGGGAGCAGTTATGACTAAATAAATGTAAGAGAGAGTAGATCTTTGGTGATTTGTAGGTGCTGAAACTTCAGTACGTAGGTTTGCAGGGATGGTCAAAAATTACTCACAAGTTAAGGCAAATGTGGGCATGGATTCAGGGGGATGGATATTCAGGTGTACCACTTTCCCTGGAGAAATCCTTCTGATGTAGCTCCGCAGAACTACAGAATTATGCCCTCTCCCACCAAAATATTTTTGTTTTTCCCCAATGCCTTCTCTGTGGATCTTTTTTAATATGTGCCATTTTTTAACCCAGCCTGTTCATTAGTTTGAACCTCTGGAAATCATCAACCAGCTCTGGCAGTTAGTTAGCAGTCTAACAACAGTCCAAGGCAAGCTAGACCTGCATAGCGAGTCTTGATTTCCCTAACACTGATGGCTCTGGCATTTTCTTTTAATATTTCAGCAGTTGGTGAGGCTTTTCTTCAGACCTTTTTTAAGTTCTCACTTTCCTTCCAGGTGTTTGCTGAGGGAGACTGGTAATTGTACAGTAATCCTGATACTGTAGCTGATGTTCTTTGGCAGTTTACACACATTGTAGCTCCAAATAGGTAATGTTTCTTGCAGAAAGTTACCACAACTAGGGGTTGACCAACAGCTATTTTCGTATAGTACAGTTAATTGAGCTTTTCTGGAGTTGTTAGGGGCAAAGGACACCTAAATAATGTTTCTGATTCCACCAATTTTTATTATAGCAGTAGTTAAGAAGAATAACATGCCACAACAGCTCATTTGCAAGGTGGCTCATGGATTTTTCTGGCAGTACTATTGAAAGAAAAAAGAAAACACCTCATGATTGCATAACATTTTTACAAACGTTATTTTCAGTTAAGTGAATTTTTCTGTTAAAAAAGACCAGCATCTAACTCTGAGCATCTTAACTGAAACTGTAATTGCCTTCAAGGAATGCAGTTGACCCAAGGGGTAGAGTACTACTTACTCCTACAGAGAAAAGGTGTGAGGTCAAAGTGGAAGGAAGCCTTTGATGGAATAGATTGCAGAGGAAGGGCATATATGACTGGGAGCTTATTTGTGAATAACTAATGGCTTTCATTTAATATTTGACATCAGCTCTTTGAAACTGCTACATTATAGCAATAAAAGTATTCTTTAATGGCAAAGTCATCTATTGCTACCCTAAGTTAAGGAGTTGCTCTCCTCTCCTATGACATTTTTAGTAGGCTTTATGAAGATTTACTGAATTTCTTTTTTATGTATATAAAATATATATTTTTATAAATAAATAAAGTATGTATTTTTATGTATATAAACTTGTATATAAAAAAGAAGTAGGACAAAACCATGGAGTTCTGCATGTGAGTGCAATGAGACTGAGGATAGGGTTCTGGGATATCATTTCTTCTACTCCTTTTGTGAGAGGGGAGCACAAGACTGTGCATTTATTAATTCAGGCTCTGTTTCCCTGCATCATTTCACTGTCTATGAAATTTTCTATATAAAAATTTGTTGTTCTCCCATCAAAACAAGGCATAATTTTTTTAAATTTTTTTTTATTTTTTTTTTTTAAAAAAGAATAGGGGAAATAAGGAGGTACTGTAGACTTGTATATTTGTGGACTGGCTGGGAATGTCCTACAACCTCATCCTCTGCACACAGGGCTTGCTATTTCTTGGCCTCTCTTTCATTCTTTTCTTTCCTAGTCCTACAGTTTAGGAGTGCCCTGTGCATCCTTTAGGGTTTTTTTTTCCCCACAAGATCTTCTAGTAAAAGATGCCAGGACAGCATCCCTTCTGTGGGGAATGCTAATGGAAATTGCCCTGTCAGTGGAGTCTGATGAGTTGTAACTAGATAGATTGCAGACTTTTCCAATTGTTTAACAAGTGGTTTTCTGGGAGCTGGAATGGCAGCTTTGGCCCAGTCTGGAGTTCTTCTGATTATTCAGTTTGGAGGAGAGGGACAGTTCTTGTCACTGTATCACGTCATTGTCACAAACAGAAAATGTTCTTCCCAAAGCTGTTTGTCCAGTTGGATGAAGTTGAGCAGAGAGAGGGCAAGTGAAGATTCTTAAAGTTATTTCTGGATGCTGGATGGACCTGAGGGCAAGACTGAAGCTTAGGATGTTTTGATCATTGTCTCTGGACTTATTATATCTACTTTCCCACTGAGTTTTAAATGACAATACTAAAATTACTTCATGTAGGAGCTGTATATCTGTTAAACTTTCACACAAAAATTCAAATTGAAGAAAGAACTTCCTTGAAATATCTTTTTTTTTTTTTTTTTCAGTTCACTCAGAAGATGTTGGATAACTTCTATAACTTTGCTTCCTCGTTTGCTGTTACTCAGGCACAGATGACCCCAAATCCTTCTGAAGCTTTCATTCCTGCAAGTGTAGTTCTGAAATGGTAATGGTGATCTCTGGTTCTTTTTTCCTAGGCATTAGATCATCATTTCTAAGCACTGAACTATTGTCATGCTGGTCAGTGAGACTGTTGCTGATAATGCAAATGCTCATTTGTTGTGGGAGTTGTGGGAAGACAGAGCATACTGATACTTGTCAGTTTGTGCCTATTTGTTTTATTTGGTCTCTTCCTAGACATAGTTCCAGCATAGTTGCCTTACTTAAGAATGTGAGAGGTGACAAAATCATCTTGGTTCTGTCACCAAGATCCTTGAGTGTAAATACGTAAATCCCTCTGGGAGTTGTTTTCCAGGGACTGGTTTAATAACTGTCTGGGGATAGCCTGTGTAGTCTGGAGATAAATTGTGAACAGCAGGCAATCCTTTAGGTTATCTGAAAATGTCTTTCCTATCAGTTTGGCCTTATTTATTTATTTAGCCTTTGCAGTATTAACCTAAGCCCTTTTTAAATCAGTATTTGAGAGACTCTGAATACAGTTTTATCATTAGTAAGATCTCATGAATGTGCAAGCAGTTGATGAGAGCCACGTGTTTTGTTTGGGAGTGTTGGTACCTACAAACTCCACGGACTGTGTGTGGGTAGGGTCTCTGGAGTGACTGGTCAGGGTAAGGCTGGGTAAGGCTGAATTGGTTTAAAACCCTTGAGTCCTTTCTCACTTGATCTGGGCTATGAACTATGAAGTATAGAAGAACATTTTTTGGTTTCCTTTGTTTCATTGGCAGTTCCTTTTGATTCTTTACATTTTGGGTTTGTAAGAATTAAAAGGGGGGTTTTAACTTTTGTGGCTCAAAGCCTATAGGCTTCTCTATTTTTTCTTTTTCTTTTAAAAGGGCACAGAAATTGTATATTTTGTCTTATTTCTTCACTGTGTGTCAACAGTGAATTCTGATGCTCAGTTTGTTTATGGTTTGCTTGGTTTTATGAGTGTGGAAAGTGAAGCTAGGACAGCATGTATGCATATATGTTTGCATTGTGTGTTAGAGAATTACATTTCCTCATTTGATTTTACTAAAACGTTACCATCCAGCCTCAGATTCATACTTCTACCTGCCCAGACTGATTTCCTAGCCCAAAAAATGTTATGCATAAAACAACCACTTACAATTCATGGACTTGTTTAGGTTGGAGCAGACCTTTAAAATAGAATCCAACCATTCACCTCCTGCTGCCAAGTGCACCACAAACCCAGGGCAAATAAAATATGTCCACATGTCTTTTAAACACCGCCAAGCAAGGTGACTCCACTACTTCCAGTGCTTGACAACCCCTTCATTGAAGAAAATTTTCCTCATATCCAGTCTAAATTAACTTACAATTTTACTAAGCTTGAATGAGTCTCCTCTGGGATACTGCTTTAACAAAATTCATCTTGTTGAAATACACAAGTCTAACGGCAAATATTCTAGATATGCAAATGGATTTGGGATTTACTGATTTCCTGATGTGAAATAGATGTAATTTGTCATGTTCTCTGCATAGACTAATTTAGACCCTTTTTTAGAAATACAATTTTATATGCAGCAGCTGTTATTTTTTGGTTGTTTTTTTATATTTCTAGGTATGAAAACTTCCAGAGACGTCTGACACAGAACCCTCTCTTTTGGAAAACATAAGTTTAAATTCTGTCATTTGGAGTTCTTCCTAAAGTGTTATCTGAAAGATGCATCAAGTAACTCCACTGAAGATTTTCCGGGGAGAGGAGGGGAAAAATCCAAACAACAATTAGTCTCAATAGACAAAACTAGTAACTTTTATATTACTCTTAAACAGTATTTAAAATTAAAATAAATGAAAATTACTAGTCTGCATGTTGGTTTATTTAATTGAAGTGCTTGGCTGCAACAAGAAATCAGTGTTGCATGTAGAAATACTTCTTTAAAACTGCATTTAAAGTGGAAAAAATTACAAGATGAAAAATGGCAGCACTGTGTCATACTTGTGTGGTGCTTTGGGGTGCTGTACACAAACCAAATGCAGTTTTTCATTCTTTACCTCATTTGAAGGATGATCAGGCAACTGTGAATATGCTAATGGTTTTCCTGCTGGTACTTGCACTGTGAGTTCTTCCATTTTGTGGACAACCAATAGTCCTGTTCCCACCTCATATAAATGGTACAGCAGTATTTCCCTCTTTGACTGTAATACACTATTGAGTTTAATCTTGGAGTACCTGTCTTTAACTTTTCCTGTATGAAAGTGTAATGAAGAGGAATCTTTGGGAGCTTTGGCTGTGCTAGAAGAATTATTTCCAGTAATAAGAGAGTAAAATCTTGTTTCTCTTAAAAACCGATGTGGGGTGTCTGATACTGCTGTCTAGGTTACTGGCACCAAAGGCTGTCATTTGCTCATAAATTCAAAAGATTTTGGGGTGGTCTGAGTAGTTCTCATGATGAGTACAGTTTCTGCTAGTGTGATGGCTTCAGCCACGTGTGCCCAGGTATCTCATAGGTGAGCTCCAGCTGGCCCTTCTGTTCACTGGATTAGTTTGATCAGAAGTACTATGTTGAACAATAGATCTTGCTTTTGTAAGTCCTTTCTGTAACCAAGGACTAAGACTTGGTCCCAGATCATTGGCATGAAAATACATGTTTCTACTGCTTTCATTGACAGGGAGATGAAGCCTTTAAGGAGTCCTTTATCAAGTCAAGTCAGCCTTAGGTACACTTCTCCTGAGAATAGAAACTCAGTCCTTTGAACCTGCTCAATGACACCCTATGTCATTTCTGCCTTAGCTTAAAATGGACTCTTCCCTTGCATAAAAGCAGACGGCCACAAGGAATAAAGAGAATGAGCTCGACCTGGGGCCCAGAAGAGGAGGAAAACAGACTGATGAAACCAAGGAAGGCTGTGTAAGAACAGCTTTTGAAAAGTAAAACTAATTCACCCCCAGGTAATTTATGGCACAAAACTCAGGGTTATTTCCTAGAAGCCATGGCACAGACCCAAGCCCTGAAAAATCTGGGTTGCCTGCTTGACTAAAGGCTTAATTTTCTTAAAGACACATTTGTAGGCCAAATGTTTGTGGAGAAGCAGCAATGAGGGCAGTTAGCAGAGGCCCAGGCTGAACTCCCTCATCAGAATGAGTCATTAGGATCATTCTGTGTGACCTGTCAAATTCTGCTGTAGGATGTGGTAGTTTTGTCACACATATGGCAGATGCCTCACATAGCTGGTGACAGAAGTGGATAAGAAGAGACAAGAGGGACCAAATGGAAGCTAGGAGTGGTCATTGCTCAGCTTCTCACAGTTCTAAGGAAGTATCTGGCTGCCTTGGAAATAATTAACACTTCATAGGCCATTGCAAGGCATCGGGAGTTAGGGAATGTGTCTACAGGACATAACAGACTCATTCTATCAGTACAATTTAATTAACAAAGGAGTGATTTATTTGTAAAAATTGAGGTACCATCTACAACTTCTTCATCTGACTGGCCAGAGCTGCCCTCTATGAAATAATCCTCTTGTCTCTACTCCTTGTTGCAACTTCCTATGGCCCTCACTATCTGACATGGTTTGGTGAAGAACGAGTTATAGAACTAAAGGTATTTAAACCCAAGGGCCTTGTTTGGGCACAGACTGGCACTCTGCTGCTCTCCTCTAGTTACAACAAGCTACTTCTGTTCTGACTAAAGCTGCATTCCAGTTATTCCAGATGCTGGTGGGATTGTTGTTTGGGCTTCAGGAAGCCAGACACACCAGACTAGACCATGTGGGTGGGATCACTAAGTCCAGCATGAGCGCTGTGGCTGCTCTTGCCCCAGCTCCAACCATTAAGGCTGTAAATAAAAATACATAATTATATGGGGGTTGAATAATTCAGGAGTGTAGATTAAGAACTTCTCCCAGTACTGCAGCCACTCTTGGTTCAGCAGGTGTTGTCTCTGAGCTCACTGAATGTGGCACATGCTTGAAAGCATCATTGTAAATTACTTTTCTTTCCTGTTGTGACCGATCAGAAACTCTCAGAGGGAAGAATTTATCCCCTCCTTCAGTATCAGTATTGTGCCTTTCACAACTGCTGTGAAAGTAAGAACTGATTCACCTCTACAGATTGTGTGAATGGCCAGACTGTGCTTGTCAAGTATTTTTCTTAATCACCTTTGAAGTAAAGGATTATGGTGGGTGAGTTTCACTAGCCCTATGAAATCCTATCATATGATCACTAATTAGAATGCTTGAGGAAACAGGTATTCAGTCTAAGGACATTTAATGTAAGAAACTTCAGGGTCATCTAAGCTGTCTCCCAACAATAGTTTTAACTTCAATATTGTGGTTTTAAAATGAGCAGGATTACAGGAATAAATGTGAAGAGAAACAAGATACATACATTAATCTATTCTGCCTTTAACTATATATATATATATTTATATATATCTCTCCTTTTTTTTTCTCCACACACAAAATACTAACATTTCTTTCCCCTGGTATGGCCAAAGGTGTAATACCTGTAATAATAACAACCTCAATGTAATATAAATTATTTTTAATGATCCTCCTACATTTAGAGTATTTTTCTAATTTCCAGTTTCTAGATATTAGGGAGTTCAGGTTTTAAAGAAAACGTGTGAAAAAAAAATAGAACAGTCATTAGGCTTCCATGCCAAACTCATAACCATGACGGGGTAGATATATTTCCCTCCATTTTCCAAATTGTTTTCCTTTCCATGCCTTTCCTAACTAATAGGAATTGTTAGAGTGGGGATTCTTTTCACAAGGGCCCTGCCTGTTTCTACATCTGCCCTCACCTCACCACCATGCCCAGAGAAAAATTTAAAAATACAGGAAGCAACAAAGTGCATATATTACTGCTGGCTTATACAAAAACAGATGCAAAATTCATGGCAAGTAGTCAAAATTCTAATTATGCAGGGGATTTATTTCTTTTTAAAAAGTTCCTTCATTTCCTTGTTGTAAATATTTTTCTGACACAGCTTATGGTGAGAGCAAAGCATTCACAGGTGAACCTGTGTCTGTAGTACTTGCAGAGGAAGTTCATTCCTTCACTTTTAGCCCTGGAACCAGAGCTTCCCAATACAATCAGTGGTGAAACATGAGCATGAAATGCAGAGAAAGCAAGCACTCTTACCTCGACTAGGAGGGGAAAATTCAATCCATATTTGTATTAAATTGTTTTGGCTTAACAATAAAAGCCTCAAGAAGAATCTGATTTAATATTGCATTGTGGCAACATTCTTTATTCATTCACCACCAGATGGAGCATCACCTCAGGAAACAGGACCATACTGTGAGAAGAGACCTTTTAAGTGAACCACTGATTTAACAATCAGGAACTGGTTTTCTATTTCTACTTCGAGCTGTGGTACAAACCTTCTTGCTGTCCCTGGGCAAAGTCTCTGCCTTGAAGTTAGAACTGTAGTCCAAGACTACAGTTTATGCAATTTCTAAATTTCTGAAAGTTGGTAGAATAAGACAAGGGGGCTGCCAGGTACCTTTACTTTTCAGCTTTTTCTTTTTTTTAATCTCTTCAGGGATATACTCAGTGTGCAATAACTGAGGGAATCGGCAACCTTCAGATTTTATTATGCTCTTCATACAGAGTTCATAAAGAACACTTTGTAACAACACTTGCAGCCTCTGAAACAGTTTCCTAATCGTACTGCAGTTACTCATCAGCCTGACTTTACCTCTCCATCACCTGTCTTGACATGGGACACAGGAGTCAATTACAGAATTTGTCAAAGAACAGCCCTAAAGGTGGCCTGATGGCAATGGAGAAGAACACGTGTTCTTTCAGGCTATTTTTGGTAGGTTTGTCCAATACTAGGGTTAAGCCACATTTCTACTGTTGAAGAATTTAGGCACTGGAGCTCTCAAGGTATGTTTCACAAAAGCATATATTAAAAGGTGAAAAGGTTTTGGAAAATACTAAACTCTTCTTTAAATTCTTTTGCAACGATTATAACTCTAGTAGCTCTGCATCTTCCAGAAGACACACAATAATTTTAATCTCTCTCCTTTTTTTAGTCTAGAACTCGGCAGCTGTAGAAAGAAAACACCCTAATGAAATGAATATACAAGTTTTATATTCACTTGAGCTTTATTGGTCTGCTTGTTAACAAAGACCTTTCCCCCCTGTTGTGCATCTTCAAAATATTATTAAATCTACACACAGATGGGGCTGACTGTTGTAAAGGAGAATTTTTTCTCCCCTTGGCTTGCTACAGCTCTACTTACACAAGTTCTTCCCTTCATTAACACTTTTAAACTGATTTCAGTTCCATCCAGGTTTCTCAGAGCAAAGCTCCTGGAACATTTGTCTGCATTTTAAGAGGACAGACTTCAGCACATTCATAAGTTAAAACAGAAGTTAAAGCTGACCCTGTGTTAGGCCTCTTTCCAGTCAAGCACCACCCTTCCTTTCCTTCCTCTCAAACACAGCAGCTCATTTGTCAGAATGTACAATTTTTATGTCCCAAAACAACACCCCTGGCTGAGAAATCCCTACTGCTTTTGTATCCCATTTCACTCTCACTTTCCTGACCACAGGAAAACAGAAGACCGTCTAATGCCATGCTACTGTAAAGCATTTGCAAAGGCTAAATGGCACCAGCCTCTAACCCAAGTGCTCTTAGTATAGCTAAATCAATCAAAGCTCTTCCCTTGAGGCTGCAGGAAGTCTGAGCACTCCCACTGCCTTTCTGGAGTGCTCTCCCAACCATACCCCAGCCTCCTAATTTTTCAGACCCTGCCAACACCACATACTTGCCACAAAATGATCTGAGATCTATGGACCATTGCTGTTGTGTAAACACTGGCTCACACTATGCCAGTAGTTCT